CCTTCCTTCCTTCCTTCCTTCCTTCCTTCCTTCCTTCCTTCCTTCCTACCTACCTACCTACCTACCTACCTACCTACCTACCACCAGAGGTCTTGAAGGAATACATGTTGAAATTTGTTTCAATCCATTTTTTATAGTATTTCAGAAGGCCATGTGATCAAGATTTTTTTTTTAATTTGCTGCAATGAATGAGTTAGAAAATAAGGCACGAAATTAATTATGTTCCCTGGGATACATTTAATGATTCATATGCATACAAAAGTGGGGAAAAATGGATGTGTTCTGACTGATTAATGAACTTATATTTACTCAGTGGTAGCCATAAGGACAGGTCATCTTTTGGCTTCAGGAGCTCCTAGGTAATTGTTTTACTTGCATCTGCCTTTATATAAAGAATAGAGATTCTTCTGAACTTGTGAATCTGAGAAATCCAGCTTAATTTTCTAAAGTGTGTTTCATGTTGGTCATTTGGCTAATTTCTGCTTTTATTTATTTTTATTTTATTTTTATTTTGTCTATTCCATGTCACAGAATGGATTGCAGTGTGCCTTGTCCATTTTATCAATCTTTGACTATGTTCTTAAAAGCAAGTTGTTTGAAAGCAGGTTGTGCTCTAATAAATTATTTAAATAAAGAAAGAGGTCAGTGAATAGGGCATGAAAGTTCTTGCCCTACTTCTGTAGCATTTTCTTTTAAATAAGTCATTTCTCTGGATTGCTGAGATTAAATCAAAAGTGTAAATACATTAATTTTGTTACTTTTTGTATCTGCACAATTGCAACATGAATATACATGTGTTTTAGCATTAACTTTTAGTCTTAATGTTACAAAGTGTAGGCACGCGGTAAGACCTGACCATGTCGCACTAAATCAATCAGCTTTGCCAAGTAGCTCTCACAGATACTGTATCTAATTCTACATAGTTTCGTTGATCACGAGGAAAAAGAGAATGTTAAAAACAACAGTCTAGTATCTTGTGTTCATTTAGTCTAAATACAGATTTGAATAATCTCTCATTTGCACTATCATGGGAGTTTAGGAAATTTGGGAAGAACATCCAATGTGCAGCTGCATAGTCCATAAGACTACACAGTTATGTAGGATGCTGAATGCAGCTACACCATGGGAAGAGGACACAGGAGAATCCATTTTTCTAATCAGCCTTTGGAGCATAAATGTGTGTCCTTATATTATATTACCACATACATTTTCTTGTGTTTTTGTCTGATTTCTTTATTGGGCAATAATCAGCTCAGTTTTACCCAGTGGCATAACTGCAGCTGGTTATAATTGAGCTTTTTTCTTTCTCATAGCAAGTCATTGAGATTGCCATTATTTTTGCATTAATATGTAACAACTTATTTTACTGGATAAGTAAGTATATTTGCCTAGATTGATTTTCTGATGAGGAGGTTGTTTGGAGCACCTGACTCCCAATAGGGGCATTGTAAGAGATCTTAAGTGGGCTGCAAGACTCCAACCATGATTAGGGACTGATACACCTATTGTATGCAGTTGGCAGACATGGAGTCATATTAGAGGCTATCCTTCAAATAGATTTATAGTTGTTGGATCTAATAAAATCACTAAATACCATTATGCCAAACAGTGTTTGTCCAGTGAGGAATTTCACCTATCTTCCTTCAGTGTTGGAAGGAAGTGTTGTTTTTCTTCTGTTGTCACTCTTTTGAACTTTTGATGAAAGAAAAGAGAAGCTTGCTGAGGATATGGCAAGTTAATTTGCTTAACATCTGTGCTTTGTATTGTCAGCAGTTGATTTACATTACAGTATGAACCAATTTAATTGTCAGCGCAGCTGGTTGAGGGAGGTTCATGCATGATGAATTTCCTGCACTAATATTCTTCTCTGTATAAACTGTGAATATATCATCTGATATCTGTATTGTTTGCCATTATGTACATTATGAAAGTGTTCTGTGAAACAAGGCTTCTTAGTTTACCTATGCATGGCAAAATGTATCTTTACTACATGTACTGTACAAGATGATAATGATGATGATTCTATTCTGTATTTCTACCCAGAGATCACTGAAAACAACTAAATAGGGTTGTGCAGTGCTTCAGATTCAAAAGTAAAAAAGGTGTCTTGTAGCATGCAGGAGTATGTACTGAGCATCTGTCTGCAATTCCTTAAACCAAACTTGTCATTTTCCAGGACTGTGCTGTATCTGCAGAGGGCAACCATGTGGGGAAAAAGCAGCAGGTTTAAGGAGTTGCAGACAGGTTCTGTATCAGCACTCCCACACTCCAAACACCTTTGTGGTTTCAGTTTAGAAGTGTGGCATACCCCCTGCAACAGTGAAAATAGAATATAAACAGTTAAAATCACTAATTTAGACTGAAAAGTTATGGCTAAACAGGAAGGTTTGAGTCATTTCCTAAAATCTAAAAGAATAGAGACTAAGCACAATTCTTAAGAGAGGCCATTCCATAGCTTGGGAGAAGGACTGTGCTATTTGGATCCAAAGCAAGAAAGGTGCTTAAGATCCAACAAAAGCATATTTTCTGTACCAGACAGCCGCTCTTTAAAGAAATCATGACTTTTCTTAGGTTGCATGGTAACGATGCAGTTTCAGGATAATATGGGCTTAAGTTAAGGAAGGAGTGACAGGATGCAAACATGTCACTTTGTCACCATCTCTTTAATGCCTCCTTAATTTAGCAGACTTCAGCCCATTGAAATGAATAAATATAAAATACTGAATTTTAAATTTTGTCCATGGTAAATGTGGCTATTTCATACATTTCCAATATAATACAATTACAGTACATGAAAGAAGCATTTACTACAATAATTAGTCTTCTCTTAGGCCAGAACTCTTATTTCTAATTTGTTTTGTAAGACAATGGTATTTTTTAATTACTTTATCTACAGTAAAACTTCAAGTCTCTGGACCTCCATTTAGCAGACTTTGGATTCAGTGGAAAAAAAATTACCCCTAAACAACAAAGACTGTTTTTTCCAAAGTAGTTTGGGCAATGCCATAATTTGCATTGCATACAAATTGCATGCATAACCACATAATATTTTATGTCATTTGTGTAAATACATCAATTACATAATTACATAAATTGCATCAATTTCATAAATTCAAACTTAACAGACGTTTGGCTTTAATGGATACCCTTTCCCCCAAATACTCTGTTAAACTGAAATTTTACCATACTTTCCAAATACTGGTGGAAATATTAGACTTCCATGTCTGCTAGATATTTATAGATTCTAATTCTGAAAGTAGTTTTCATGCTAACAAGTCATTGCAATAATGATTTTAGAAGATATGAAATCTTAATGTAATTCAGGAAAAAGCTGTAACTTTCAATACAAGCATTAGCACTGGGGGTGTCATCATGTTTGAATATACTGCTTGCATCAGTGTTCCTTTAAGGTAATTTGGGATCACTACTTCTAGTGCTACTATTCTTTTGGAAATAAACTTGATATATATTTTTTTTAAATGTATAAATGGTTAAGACTGGTTTCAAAATTGGGGAAGAGGAAGCTAACAGTATCAAATGTTTTGGATGTCTTATGATTCCTTTAAATGCTATAATTCTCACTACCCAATCACGAAATAAGAATGTTGAATCTTATAAGAATTTTCTAATAGTATTAATATTATTTTCATTTTGGCCTTCGATAACAATTTTGTAAAGCATTTATAAGATAATTTAGTTTCATGCCACCTTGCACATTGCTTTTCATATAATATCTGAGATATTCAGTGCACTACCTGCTCTAGAATATGGGATGATTTTAATTTTTGATTAGATTTGATACTTATAGTTGTCTAGCTTTTGCTGGCTTGGTAAGTTTTTTTCCTGAGCAAAGATAGCCACTTGTATTATTAAAATGTGCTCTACACTTGTTTTCTAACCTGGGAGGTGCATCTGGTGCAGAATGCAATGGCCAGGCTTTTCAGTGGGCATCTAACCATAACCATATTATTTACATACTAAAGCAAACTTCACTGTTTACGTATTAGCTACTGGGATAGATTCAACATTTTATAATTGGCATATTAAGCATTGAATAACTTGGCACTGAGTTACCTAGCAGATTGTCTTCCCTGTTATAAACCTGCATAGTTGCTAAGATTGCCTAGGGAGACTTTACTGTGGATGCCATGAATTGGTAGATTGTCATGTTGAAGTCATTTGCAATGTGCCTTTTCAGCGGTGGCACCTTTTCTTCAGAGTGTTCTCCTTGCAGATGTTCATTTAGGTGTCTACTGAAGACCCATCTTTTCATCCTGGTTTTCCCTGTATGAATGGCAACGACAAATTTTTGTAATGCATTTGATTTATTTTCTTCTCTCATTATTTTTAAAAAATCCATCTTTTATATTCTTTTAACTTATTTTAAATTGCAAAATACTTTGTGGAAAATAACACGTTATTTAAACAATACTAAAGCACATTCAACTGTACATTTCAATAATGTAAAGATATAGAACATGAAATATGTTTGTTGTATATTTAATTGCAGATATATTTCAGTGAATTCAGTGGCACTTTCAGCAAATGTTTAGAATATAATACCTTTCTAACTTGATTTTTTTTTAAAATGAAATGTTTGCTTATCCACAGATTTGAATTTTGTGAACCTGCATTTGTAGTTGGCAATTGCTTGCAGATAGCCTCAGACAGTCATCAGTATGACCGGATTTATTGTGGAGCAGGTGTGCAAAAAGACCATGAAAACTACATGAAAATTTTATTGAAAATTGGAGGCATTCTGGTTATGCCTATAGAGGATCAGGTGATTTAAACCTTTTTCTGTGCATATATACATTTCCTTTGGCCCATTTAAATAATTCTTAATCCTTCTACTGTCAGCTGCCTCATTACTGTAAACAGAATGTAAACCCTAAAGTGGAGAAATTGGTCAAGCAATAAAACTCATAGTCTTCCCTTTCATGTTCAAGAAATGTTCTGGTTGAGCACAGCTTGATCTTTCAGGGCAGCTTTTCTAGCCCACTTGTAGTTGATTTTTAGTGGATTTTCAGGTGTAGTTTTGATAGATTTAGTCTGTTATACAATATTGTGTGACCCATGAACTGAGTTGTCAAGGCACACTCCCCCAGCCCCCCAAAAGAAAAAGCTTAGGAAAACAGGATTTAAATGTCCCATTCTCTCAGACACTTGAAATCACCCATTGTTTTTCATAAATGAATCTTACTTATCTTCTAGCTATTAACATGCTGAAAATACAGCAGTTTAAAAATAAATTGATGCTACTAATTTGTAATTTTGATTACTTTTTTTTAAATTGAGATATTTTAAAGCTCATATCTGTACCTGGCTTCTCAGATGGTCCCCAAAATGTACTAGTAGGCAGATGGAGAAAGTTATTGGGTAGGCCAAGCCAGAAACTGAACAGTGCTGTAAACAAAAGCCTTTGGTGAAGTAGCTGGAAACATTGTTACCACTTGCTTATATCCACCAGGTTCTTTCCCCAATGTGTGCATTACAGTGAGAAAGAGAGCAAAGATTGTGGTCACCTGGGCTGACACTTTTTCATGAGCAAATATTGTAAAGAAAAAGAATAAAACTGGGGCTGCTTCAGTTATAGATTAGACTTTAATCTTAACTGAACTATAACTACTATAGCTCAGTAGTAAACCATACTTTTACACTAATAAATTTCACCAATTTAAAATATTTAAATTTTAAAAAACTGAAGGAAATTACTGATGAGAATTATAGTAACATGCTCTTAATTCCATCTGTGACAAGTATCAAATCTGGCAAACAATTAATACTTGTACTTTTATTTTGATCAGCTTTACCAGCTATTTTTAATTACATGTAATTATATTCTGGATTTTATGTGTATGTGCGCATGCATGCATATTTTTGTGTAGATGTGTATTCATTTATTGTCTTGAATGATTCATGTATTGCCATGCATCAAATTTCAATCAATAATATAAGCACACTAAAACATTGAAAAATATCTGAGTTGTCTTGGTTTCATAAGTGCTACATATTAATGTATATAAGATATTTTTCAAAATTCAGGAAATGCTTTAAAATGTGATTGTGTTTTATTTTAATATATGTAATGTTGGTGTTCTGCATCTACAATTTTCTCTTTCTTAAGCTAAAAGTTTTAAGAAGCAATTTATTTGGGGCAATCTCATCTTGGCTTAATAAGCCAAGATATGAATGAGTCTTGTTTATATATGCAGCAAAGATGAACAATTTCTTGAATTCATCCTTCTTCAGTCTTGATTAGGATATAAATTGTATTCCACCAATGGTACCTAGGAGTCCCAAGTAACCAGAAGAATGTATACTGAAGTTTCTTTTAGTTCTCATCCACTTACTAAAGCAGAGGGCGAGAAAGCTTAAGTGAATCCCATACACCTGCATACTAAGGAAACTTAATACAATGTCAGTACCAGTATTCTTAGTTTCTAGTGTCATATTCCTTCAACCTTGATGTTGCTGTTTTTCTCTCCTCTAGCTTACTGCTTTCCTTTCTACTCTGGGGCCAAAGTCCTTGTCCACACCTGCTTTACTATCAAGCCTAACATACCTTAATGCAAGATTGGTCCCATCATTAGGTGTCTGGCTATTTAGAAGCTATGTTGTCTGTAGTTTTCATCTCACCCTCTGTTAAGAATGTTGGGAATTGAAACCCTATCATCTTCCTCTCCAAAGAGGGCACACATTTTCAGACCAATCTTTAGTGCATTTCTGGAACAATATTTAGTACAACCATGATGCTGAATCACATTTATTAGCAAATTTCACCTTCCAAAACGACTGATTCTTTTAGTTAGCTTTTGCTGACAACTCTGTTCCAGTAGCTTTATGTTCTTCTATTATTGTGATTAGGGAATTGTTGAAAAAAAAAAAGCCCTTCACACTATACCTTTTAGTTGAGTAGCCTAGAGAACACATATAATATTCTTGAGGAAGGATGTGGCTTTTTTTTTTTTACTCACTTCATTATTGTTGGGGCCACTCAGAACAAATCCACTTAGCAGATTCACTTTATTAATCCTAATGGGATGAGTAGAATATTATGGGCTAAAGTTTTGCATGCAGAAAACTAGCTTTTTTTATAATACATTAGCTTCCTCTGAATATCTCCCAGGTTTAAAGATGGGAATTTATTTATGAAGAAGTTTTTGTCTGGTGTTTGAATATCCACAGATTGATATACAATATCTGGTTTAAGACCAAAGGCAATGGCATAGTCAGGGACTGTGCTTAGTTACCATTTCTGGCTTGCACAAAAGACCAAAACTGGCATGGGAGCATTATTATAATGTGTTTTCAGAAAGATAACAAATTATTCCCAGAATAAAGTACAAATCCTCTGAAATACAGCTTGTTGAATGGGATTTCATTTAGCACATACTGTAGACTTAAAAGTTTACATTTGACTGTTCTAATAGACACTGCATGTCACTCAGTGCACTTTAGACACTCAGCAGTGTCATATCAGCAATCTAGGAACCCAACACATATTTTTGTATACTGCCAGACAGTTTCTTAACTGAAATAACATTTTTAAATGCACTTATATGGCCAGTCTGTGTGTGTGTGTGTGTGTGTGTCTCATCACGTGGGTCATGACCACCAGCATTTTTGAGATGTGGCTAGAGAACTTACCAGATTAATGGTACACACCTGTCACAACTGTATATAAACCATCATTTGTATAGGATTTTCAACATATATGCCTTTATTTCACCAGAAATTTATTCCAGATCAATACCACCATTCTGTTGTCCTTTAGAAAAGATCTTAAACCTTTTTTTTAAAAAAAATAGGGCTGGTACTTATCTGGCTTGAACTGAAAAATTCCTGTTTGTTTTATTTATTTTTTCTTCTACAGTTTTCCCCCCAAAATGAAGAATCCTAAGCAATAGGTTTTAAATGCCTTTGTCATACTCAGTAGGTTTTGGATGATAGTATTGGCTAGCATCATGGTATTTCTGTGATTGCTGAGCAAAATGAGGCAAATTGCATTCTGATAATTTTGCAGTAAATCAGATAATCTTAAATTGCAAATTGTTTGAATATCCTTCAGCTGTCAGACAAAATACTGCCTTTAAAGAAAGCAGGGTTACCTATCTTGACATCCTCAACATCAAATTGCTACATTTTTATTCTGTTTCTCATAAAAGGTAGAGCAGATTGTAAAAGAAATGTCTAAATAATCTACTTAAGCTTTTTGTGCTGCAAAATAGGAAAGTTTCCTAAAATATTCAATAGTACTACAATATTATGTAATATATTGAAAAAACCTCTTCTCCAAGAGAAGCTTCAGCATCAAGGTTTATTTCATGGCTCTTTAAACTTTCCATTGCCCTATGAAGAGTTTTTCAGTATTTTCATACCAAATGGTGAAAAGTCTTCTGAATCTACAGGTTCTTCAAAGGGTTTATGGTTAAGCCATTTTTATTCTTGGTTTTTCACCAATTATATTAGACTTCAAAGTTCTTGTCCAAATATAAGCCTATGCCTATATCCTTTATCTTGATTCTTCATATCCAATCTTCTATAGAGACAAGATAGTCCTATATACTCTGATTATTTTTTTCTAACGAATTTAGTTTTTATTTTTCACTGTTTTTTCTTATACTTTTCAGAATCTGTGTTGTTCTCTAATCCCTTCTTTCTTGAAATGTCTTGTAGACTATGGGCATTCAGAATGCTCTAGCTTTTTATATGCAGGACAACAAACACTAGAGAGTTTTTCCTGTAGTAAAGTCCTGATTTTCTCTCAACCATGCAGTTTTTTTGCAAACCCACCACATTTCTTTTTCCATGTAAGGTCCATGAACACTCCACCAGAACAGTTACTACCTCTACAGATTTTCTTGGAGTGATGCTGGAGTGTTTCTACGTAGTAGTATGATCACAGCCCTCTATGTCTGTTGGACACTAGAGATATGTTCAGCCCATAGCGTATCTTTCTAATAGAAGGCTATGCTGAATTCCCTGGCTTCCTCAGCATTTCCCCTTTTGGTACGTGAGTCATCCATATATGAAACTGAGCACAAAGGAAGAAAAAGCTTATTTTGAGCAATTGTCTGTACAAAGCAACACTTTATCCTTTTGCTCAGTGCAATTCCATCCTTTATATAAGTTATTATTTACACATCATGAGCAACTAAAGGAAAATTGGGTGGCGGGCACCAATATTCTAGACTGGTCTTAAAAAGTTCCAAAATGAGGCTTCTCACAGAGTTTATAGTTGTGATAACTATGATAGCCACAATTACACATAAACATTTTTTTTAAAAAAAATGTTTATGTGTAATTGTGGCTATCATAGTTATCACAACTATAAACTCTGTGAGAAGCCTCATTTTGGACCTTTTTAAGACCAGTCTAGAATATTGGTGCCCGCCACCTTTTTAAAAAAAAAAATCTTGATTTCCTTACCAAGTAAGTAAGAAGAGCAGAAGAGTTATGGCCACAAGCAAAAGATGAGGCTTATTAAACTAAAGTATGATTCTCCAAAAACAACTAACTGCCAGATTCAAACATAATTGTACATTATAGTTTATTATGTGGATGAACCTCCATAATAATTACATTTATACATCCTTCTTTCTCCTGCAGCATGGCTATTTCCAACTCATCATAGTTTATGGTTTCCTCCAAATTCTAATCCAGATTGAGGCAACCTTTGCCCTCCATTTATTTTAAATTGCAATTTCCTCAAATCTTTGGCATTAGAAATGATAGCTAGGGCTGACTGAAATTGAAGTTCAAGTTATTTGGAAAGTATCAAATAATATATTCCTTTCTAAATGGGTAGCCTTACTAAACTCATGTTTAATTAGAGAATATGATCCTTGTAACTATACAGGCAGTCTCCGGGTTAAGAACAAGTTCTGTTCCTAAGTCTTTCTTTAACTCAGATTTGTATGTGAGTCAGAACTCGTACTTAGAAATGGGCTGCTTATTACTAAGAATGGCAGACAGCATTCTCCTTCCTCAAGCTGATGAACCACTGAAGTTGTGCAATGTATTCATGAACTGCTAAAAACTGCTGAAAGCAGCCTGTATATTAAAAACGTGTAGCTTCAACAGTTCATGAAAACATTGTGTGGCTTCAGTGGTTTGCAGCTCGAAGAAGGAGAATGTCGTCTGCCATTTTTAGTAATAGGCAGCCTATAAGTACGAGTTGTCTGTAAGTTGGACATTCATAAGTTGGATTACATACAAGGACTGCCTGTAATCACAGATGGAATTTGACTAAAAGGGTTGCCTAGTATAACCCTTCCTGGTGTTATGGCACTTCTTATTGGAGAGATAATCATTGGTACTTTAGCAGGTTTCTGTTGTCCCATTATGAGTGGTATGCATGTTATTATGCTAAATAGCTATGGTTATTCAGCTTCATAACAAAGATTTGAAATTGGCTTACTACAGCCAATTTTTTTGCAGATGGCAGCTGTCCTTTTTTTTTTTTTTAAGGGAAAAAGGACCAGCAAGAGATAAGGCCATGATATCATATTACCAAAGTGATTAAAGCAAAACAAAAAACCCTCATTTATTCGGAGGGTTTTGAGGCCCCCCTCTGGGAGGAACAGAGCAAAATAGTTGCAGAGATTAAATGCATCCAGTTTACTTCCTAAAACCCTGAAAACTAGGGATCATTGACCAAACTTTGGGTGGATTGGAGAAGTTTTTAAGAAGTAAAATGTTTCTTGGAACCCACAACCCTTCTTCAAAATGTTTGACCCATGACTCTAAGATTTACCAGGTTCAGTTACATAATGATAAGTTATTGTTTATCAGTCTATTAGAGCAAGGCAACTATATGAAAAGCAAATACAGGTATTGATGTAACAGCTTAAATTTGTATGATTAATTTTCAATAATTCTATATAGCTAACCCAGATCCTGAGAACTGGACAGAATACTTGGGAAAGCAAAAACATCCTTGCTGTATCGTTTGCTCCACTTGTACAGCCAAGCAAAAGTGACACCAGCAAACATGATAGCGTGGGGCTGCGTAAGTACTATTTGTTATGTGTTTCCTTGTAGTACAACTAATATATACTAAAAGTAAACATTGTACTGTACTTAAGCAACTCAGAGTCTTTGGAAAAGAATAAAAAAAAAATCATATTGACACTTATTTAATCTCAGTTTAATTGTTCTCTACATTGGGCCACATTCTAACCAATAAGTGATTTTAACCACAAAATATTTCTGAGATCCTGAAGAATTGGATAAATATTACAGAGGGCTCTGCTGGTGGAAGAAAACTGATAATACATCCTATGAACATATCTTCTACTTATGCAAGCAATCCATTGGAACCCACCCATCCAGCTTAACAACTGTGTCTATATTATTTTCCTCCTGAAGCTGAACAACTCTAGCTGACTAGGATACCATATTTGTAATCCATATTGTTATTGGTTCCATTATGTAGCTTTATTTTTAGATTCTTAATTTTAAGTCTCAGTTGATAATGTGCTAACAGAAGTAGTTAGGGATTGCTGATGGGGGAGGGTAATGCACCATGTAAACTTAGCCTGCTTCTGGGTAAAGACAATTTATGAATTCATTGTTACTGGGATTTAGTTACTAAAAGTAGTTTGATATGAATTAAATAACATTTAGCTGCTTAAAACATAATTTAATGGATGGCACAGTATGACCTAGCTGCTACTGTGACATATTCTTGCCTGTTTCTGTATGTAAAAATAACAGAGAAAGTTTAGAATAAATTCTACAGGCAGTCAGTCTACTTCTTTCTGAGTTGGATAGCTAAACAATTTATAGCAAGTAACTGATTAGTAGACAGAGGTGATGATGAAAATAAATGAATATAAAATTTTACCCATTTTTTTTTTGTTTTACTATAGTTTAGTTCTACTATGTGATTTATTGTAGTTTTCTATAGTTTATTGTTCTGCTATTTCAGATTTTTTGTTTGATCAAGCGTGATATTACAGACTTCTTTATATTGGACACATTTTTTAAAAAATGTTTACAAATATTTTGGGGTATAGAGAGACATCTATTTCAAAATGTTCATGATGGTGTCTGGTTTAATAATATACAAAGAGCAAAAGAAGCCATTGGAAGAAATTATAAAAGAGCTACCACCTTTCAAGTTCCTTTAACTTCTGTCAAAGTTATCAAGAAATGATATCAGGAAAGTGACTGCTGCCTTTACATATTTTAAATTAGTTCAATATTTTAATGATTCACTTTTTCAGAACATTTTATGGTATAATTTATGCACCATGACTTATTTTATTTTAATTTAATTTTTTCTCCGTCTCTTTATAGCCCCCTGTGCTGTTAGGAATCTACAGGATTTGGCTCGGATCTACATTAGGCGCACCCTTAGAAACTTTGTAAATGATGAAATGCAAGCCAAAGGTATTATACAGAAGCCTCCACCAAAGCGTAAACGCAGAAGATGTCGTAGACGCAGGATTAATACCTATGTGTTTGTTGGCAATCAACTCATTCCTCAACCTCTAGATAGTGAAGAAGATGAAAAGATGGAAGAAGACCACAAAGAAGATGATGATAAAGATCAAAATGAAGTCTTGAAAGCAGAGGAACCTCCACGAAACCTGCTGCGGGAAAAGATTATGAGTCTACCGCTCCCTGAATCTCTAAAAGCCTACTTGACATACTACAGAGAAAAATAACCCTTGCTTTTAAGTAGAAATAATAATGCCTACTTGATAGTTTTTTAATCCTCGAAATGTAGCATTTACTTAAGTACAGTAATCTTTCAACAAGGCTATAGAGCTGTGATGAATCGAAACATAACTTGTCTTAACTTTGCTACAAGGACTTGGATTCAGCAGTAGTTTCCTATTTTAAATCCTATTTTGTTACCTTTTCTTTTTCCAGAAAATATTCTTTTAACTTGGATAGAAATGTGTTCCACAGCAGTATATAGCATTAATTAAGAGTTTGCATGATAAATCTTTTTGTTCCCTAACAAATTTGTATTGATGAGGATTAGTGATATTTTATACAAGTGAATAAACAAAACAAGTGTATACAGATAACAATCTGCATTCTCTTAAGCAAGTTTTTAAATGAGCAGACATTTGTCGTCTCACTGAATTAGAACATTTTATTTTACCATGGTTATATTCCAATCATCGTTACTGTGTTGAAGTGAGTGTGTTCAGAGGAATACACAAGTGCAATAGCTGCGGACACTGAATGAGCTGGCTTTAGTGTAATATGAGCATTCAAATTTAGAAATGACAGATATTTTCTTTTATATCTCTTGCCAAAAAATGTCAAAAAAAGTGACTGCTTCTCTGTCCCTTTCTCTCTCTGAGCCTTAAAGAAACATATTGACTATAACATTTCTAAAAATTCTTTTCTTTAACACCAGCCAATGATTGATTTCTTAACTTTCCAGCATTTATGAAAAAGTATGTAACTTATTTTTAAATTTAATGGTACAGAAAACATATTTCATTTATAAAAGATTGTAATTTAGGATTCAGCTACTATATGTATGTCTTTGTAGAATAGAACATGTAAAAATTTTACTTGTATTGCTTTTTTGCATAGCAGTAATATTAGAATTCAAGGATTTATTCAGCAATGCACTTTAAGTGATTCTGTACCTTATTTATTGCAGATAAGGGAAGATGTATTTCATTTTTACACTTGATATTGATACTCCTTTTTGCAAGCTTGGGGACTCACGTTGCTTGACTATAATGTTCCATCTGCATTTTTTATTAAATATTTAAAGGGGTTATTTTTTAGAGCATCTTTCTACTAGCATTAAGTGAATGAAATAAAATGGAGTTCAAAATATGCTTTAAAATCTACTGTTGTTGAGAACACCTAATCCCTGGGGCCAATTAAAAGCATTCCTTATGGAGAAGATTCCTATACAGTTTATTATTGTACATACATAAACCAGATTAAATAGATGATAAATGCTATAGATGTTCTCACATTCTAAACTAATAGAAATAAACCAGTTCAACTGCGTAATTCAATCTGTCTTTTTTTCTAGTGTTCACTTCATAGTATTATAAAGATCTTGAGCAGTCTGTGAAATATATGGGCTTTGTTCTTTATATACAAATAATGCCCCCCCCTTTTTTTTTTCTTTGCAATTATCAAATTAAATTCCACAGGTGAAAAAGGTTCAGGGGTTATAATTTAGAGTGGTTTTCAGAAAATTAACACTAACAAATAGCATATATTACTGGAAACGTTTGCCAATCTTATTTCACAGCAACACAAACTGACAAATGGCAGGCTTATATAGTGAAACTACTGCAGTAATTCTGAATGTTCAGTGGTGGGAAGCATTGATAGATGCAATGTATTTTATTATCTGGAATGAAGCTTAAGGCATTTTGAAAAACAATTATCTTCTAGTCTTGGTTTTTCATATTTTCTCAATTTTCAGGGTGCAAAATGTAAAAAACTTTTCCCAGAAATTTATACAGGTTTTAATGTATTTTCTGTTGTAAACTTGTTCAGATAGGCAATAGAGGAGTTATAAATATTATGGGGCTTTTTTGTTTTTGTTTTTATTTTATTTTTTAGTTACGGAAGCATTTTTTTGTGTGTATAAGTTTACTTCCCATTTTTGGATTTGTATTTTAAAATAAAAGAATAAAATTCAGAATGAATTAAACTTAAATTTCTTGTCATAATTCCAATAAAAATGTCTGGCATGTTTGTGCTGACAAGGATTCCCTTATTTTTCAATTATGTTTAATTCTGTGCAGAACTACCTGTCCACATTGGGAAATGCTCATTTAGAAATCTAAATGTCAGTGTGATAACATAACCCTGTTACTGGGAAAATTGAGCAGCAAAGATGCTATGTTTATTTGTGTAGCAAAACCAAAATAGCTTATCACTAACAAAAGTTGCCAAACTGCTGGGGCTAGGAATCATATGGGCCACTGGCATGGTTTGTCCACTCCTTAACTAAACCAAACTCTGGGAGGGCAGGGAGAGCTATTTTTAATAATTAAAATATTCTGAAGCAAAATGTCACTGTTTTTGCTAAAGGTGAGCTCTGTTACAGGTTAAATAAAATTAAAATAGTATTTTTTTTTTAATCTGCACTCAATCGTTACCGACTCTGCAGTTACTGCCTGGACGAGTCCCTGCAGTTTTCAAGGCAAGGTGTTTCGGAAGTGGCTTGCCATTGCCTCCTTCCTAGAGCAGAGCCCAGCTGGCAAGCACAGGAGGCAGGGTCTCCGTTGCTTCACGGCTTTTTTCGGGCGTGCGCAGCTTCCACGTTACTGGCAACTGATCCCATCTCCTGTGCAAGGCGCCGCCATTTATCTACTCATGTAAGTTTTTGAGCTGCTGGGTTGGCAGAAGCTGGGGAGGAAGCAGGAGCTCACTCTGCCGCGCGGAGCTGGGCTCGAACCACTGAAGTGTCGACCATTTCTGGCCGGCAACTTTCAGCGGCATTAAGCCACTGCGCCACCGCGTCCCCTAGAATAGTATAGATTATTACTAAGTTAGATCAGTATGATATAATCACATCAAATCATTAATAAATCAACCTCAATGTTTATCTGAACCATGCACAACTTAATTTCAGAGATTTGCAATCCATTCCCTCTATACTTTTTAAAATTGAATTGTCTAAATGAATGTCACACATCTGACAAATACCATACATAAGTAATCTTAGATAACACAATCTTCTCTACACATTTATTTTAAACATTGTGTCAAACATTTTATTGTATGCATTTCTCAAGTAGATTTACTGTATATAGGTAAATTTTCCAGTATTTGGAGTACCTGTGAAATACCTTTTACAGTACTGTTGCCACTTTCTTGAGATTTGCATACTTGGATACATCAAATTTTATGATTCTAGTTAACGGATTTTACTGATAGATCGTCAGATTCTAGCCAAGCCAAGGCTTGTAACATGCTTGCTTTCAAATTACCTGTATGTTTCTTTTCTTCTGATTAGGTCTATATGGCTAAATGCCTTTCTTGCATATTTTCTATATTAGATTCAGTAGTAGTATTGTACAAATTAAATTGAACAAGTGGCCTCCTCATCACAATATGTTTTTGGCTTATTTTACTTTCATATAAACTTTCAAGCTGCACTAGTCACTGTATCAATATATCCATGTTGTCTTCTTGCCAACAATACAGAAGTGTTGTAATTGCATACTTACAGGATTGTTATATTTTACTTTACTTTCCAGTATAGTCCATAGCCTAATTTTCCTAGTTGTCTCCCATTCATGTGCTCCTCTGGTTGATCTCAAAAGGGATTTTGTTTTTTTTAAAGGCAAGATATGTGCTGCCACTTGTTATGATACTTAGATGAGAATGATACCCAAAGAAAACATTTCCCATAAAATACACTTTAGGATAAATGGGTGCAATTGTCCTAATGTCAGCCATTATCTCCTCCATGGTCTCCATTTTGGCCTGCAGGCTTTCTGCAAAGAACCTGAATTCTACACTAGTCATATAATGAGATAATTTTGTATTCAACAGCAAGGATATTCTAAAAATATATTTAAAAGCAGTTTTCTTCCAGTATTCTTCCAGATCTTGTTTATATTAAACACTCTTCAGACTCCTAAAATGGAAGTCAGTTCTAGGTTGTGTGTGCTCAGGGTAAATTATATTAACACAGTACATATTTTCCCAAAAGAACGGTGGCAGTCCAGGTAGGTAAGCAGAAGCACCTGATGAGTAATAAAGTGAATGAGTAAAGGAAAAGACTTGTGTATTCATGATTGTGGGGTTTTCTTCTGTAAACTAATCTGAAGCTGAAATTGAAATGTGCTGTTCTTTCAAAAATGTAGTAATTTTATAGTTATGTTGCCAGCAGGGGAAAAAAGGTATAACCCAGTTTTGCTGAAAGTGGCTATAACTCAATACCATCATTCCAGATAAAGGTGAAAATAAACCGAGTTGCGGGGTCTGTTTTATGTACGTATATTTCACTGGCCTTGGATGGGAAGGATGGTACTGTTCTCTATCAAGGAGTCCTATTTTTAATTTTGATTCACCCTGAAGTTTGCTGAGTGGCTTTGGACTCTCCTATCTGCCTTACTGAGCAGTTCTGAGAATGAATCTTCCTCAGCTTGCTGCAAGAGTGGATAAAAAATATTGTCCAATAAAAAAAAAGTTTCTTTGTACATATTTACTTATTGAAGGATGATATGTGCATTTCAGAGTATTGGCTTTCAATGTTTTGTTTCTGACAATGCTATTTGATGCAGATATAGTTGCCACTTAACCAGGGCTGGCAGTCTCATAAGCAAGATTTAATGTATCTTGTGTTAACATTACTTTCAAACTGATTCTCCAGGACTTGTAAAATGCAATCAGTAAAGAGATAATTCCTGCTCTCATCCTTAACAAAAGAAAAAAAAAGGGGGGGAGGGGGATTCTTGAACACTCAAAATCAGTACTTGATTTTGTAAAATATACTGATTTTATTATAGATAGGATGTAGATGTAATGCTGCAATGGCTATAATGCAGCCAGGAGTTCCTACATACATACATACATACATACATACATACATACATACATACATACATACATACATATTTCAAATTTGGTCACCACCCATCTCATGAGGAAGTGACTCTGGGTGGTTTACAACAAAAACAACAAATAAATATTAATTAAAATACAGTAAAAATAGTATAAAATAAAAAAAAAACAATAAAACCCAATAACAATAACAACAATAATAATAGTATTTTATTGCAACTAATAGGAATGCCCCTATCAACTGAATAAATAAAAATAAATACAGTGACTCAAAGAGAGGAACAACTAACGGTTAGTCTCCCAGCCAAGCCAATGGAATGGACTTGATCATTTTCATTCCCTTTGTTAAATATAACACAATAATTGCCAAACGTTTCTCATTTCTTTGTGGTGGATGCGGATCCTTCTGGTTTAATGCATCCATATGCTGCCTCTGCTGCAGAGTGAACCTTCAAGCCACGAACAATATTCTGTGTTCCAGTTAGTTGAGGACAGTTATTTCAAAGCAAAAACAATGCCTTTTAAAACTTTATAAAGCCACAAGGGGGCAATGTTGCCACACAGAAGAATATGGAGTCAAGAAAAACTGAGTGAGCAAGGAAAGGTTCGCATAATTAATAAAACTACCGTAACTGCAGATTTCAACAGTTGGAAAAATCATTTGTGCAAATACATATCCAGTTACATAGCCAATATCACTGCACTGCAATAATCTGTCAATAAAAAGGGAGAACATAATCACTGCCTGACTTTGTTCCCACTGAATCATGTTGGGTTTGAATAGTCATTTATTTCCAGATTTCTTCATTTTATGAAACAAATGGCTGGGACCATTCATGGCAAACTTTGGAAATGGTTGTCGTATTTATTTCTTTGTCGTGATTTACCTTTGCTTTGGAGGGGAAAAAATGAGTTTTCTTCCATTTGTACAGCCCCTACGTTTTCTTGTAGGCCTTTGATTTGATGGTATATCTTTATTTGCCAGCTTGTAGCTCTTTCTTTCTCACACAGAGTTAATTTATCTATTCAAGTCGTACGTCATATGGGCTAAAGAGAAAAAACAAATTTTGATTTTTTAATGTTATTCTTTATTGCATGTTTGTTAATTTAGAGAAAGTATAAAATGAATAGGTTAAAATTATGGAAAGTTTTGCACAGATATGGAGGTTCAGGTCAATTGCTAAATGGAACAAGAGAAGTATATGATGGAAATAAAGCATGCATGAGAATAAACGGAATGCCGAGAGAGTAAGCTAAGGAAGAGTTATATCCTCTTGTTATTTAATATATTTCTGGATAAATGTGTAAGAAATGCTTGTTATGGTGTAGGTGATGGTACAATGAAGGTATATGTACTTCAGTATATAGACGATGCTGGGTTGTTGGCTGAGAACCCAAATGATTTGCAGTAAATTTAGATTGTATAATCCAGCATAGAAGATGGATCTGAAAATTGATTTATCAGAGTTGGATACATCAGTTTTCAGAAGCACATTCCCTGTCAGATTATACAATCTAACATTTGCTGCAGATCATTTGGGTTCTCAGCCAGCAGCACTGAAAATAGAACAATTGTAAGTTATATATAAATGGTGAAAAATTAGAGCAAGTAGAATGTTTTCTAAAGCAAGTAGAATGTTTTCTAAAGATTGGAAAATGTGTAATTGCTGGTCAAAAGATAGTGGGTAGTAGGTGGTCTTTTCTGAGGAGTGAATGTTAGTTGAAAGAAGCAAAAATGGCTTTATTTAAGATTGTGCTTCTCCCTGCCTCAGTATATGGAAATGAGAGTTGAGTATGCCAGGCAAAAAGAGGTGAGAAGTTTACAAAATATATTATCAGAGTGATTGAGAGTTCATGTTAAATTTCTCTTGGTGCTGTTTGTGACCTTGCTATACTGTTGCAAGGGGAAAAGAATGCTACTGTTGAAGTTGCTATGTTCCGATGTTGCTATGTTCAATTACTATATATATAAGCCCATGCACAAGCCAAACTTAAATTTTGGATAGATTCGGATACCTAAAATTCTTGGTTTATCTGCAATTATTAGGATCATATCATATCATATCATATCATATCTATAGTATTATTATATTATA